TGTACCTAGTCTTATGCTAATCTGTTGGCTTTAGAAGCCACTCACAATCTTGCCCTATAGCTGTTACCCTATGGGATTGAAAGGTGTTAAAAATTATCATAAAAGGTTACTACCCAGACTTGGGTTTATCCAATAAGCAAATTGCAGTGCAGCATTTTTAGATTTGAAATTAACATTACTAAACCCAACCCTTTTAGATTTTCCTGAATATGCTTTCTTGAGACGTGCTTTCCTGGAATGTGTTGGGTGTGCCAGGCAGTTGGATCCAATTTTTATCATCAAGGCTGAACCCTGAGCAAAAACCGTTAGGTCATCTAATCTTGCAGCTACAGCTTCGCCTTCAGGGCCCCCAGTCAGTTCCACAAACAGTTAGTTTTATCATTTTGGTTAAACTTATGACAGGGAAGTTACATTTGTGGGTTACAAACTTACAAGCTTTATATTAGGCAAAAATTCCAAATGCTTCCAAGAAGCACATATTTATTGCTTATTAATCTCTTTGTTTCTGGCTGTCACAGCCCCCCTATGTCCCTGACTGGTTCTCAGTCCAGCCCAGCCCCGTTGTTGTACTGACCCAGGGTAAGGAGGCTCTCTTAGTATGCCACCCCTGGCCCTTTAACTGGGTTCAGCCCACTTGAGTCCTGGATTCTGCAGAGGATGCTATCCCCAGCCTCTAAATGGGTGTCCCTCAGGCATCCCTGTGGCTTCCTGTCCACCCCTTTCAGCCACACTCAGTCCTCCAGTGCTTTGCCAGCAATAGGTAAACCCCTTCTGGGTCTCTCCACCCCCCTAGCCACCTCCTACTTCTTTGCTGCTAGGTCTGTAGCAGCTCCTTAGGTACCTGGTTGGTTGGGTTCCTCTTCTGTTATATTTCTGGTCGGCCTGATCACATGGCTCAGCCCCTCAGCCTGCTGTCAGGTATTGTACCTTAAGCCCTGAGCCACAGCAGCTGCCTCCTCCCTTGCTGCAACCCTTGTAGGTTTCCCTGGCTGTATGTTGTATTGCAGCTGACTTTGGCCCAGCTGCCTACCTAACTGCAGCCCTTTGGTGCTGGCTCCCTACTTCTCAAGTAGCAGGGATTAGGAGTCCCTGCTACAATGCCTAGAAGTGTCTCAGTCTTCTAGGTATTGAGCAGCTAAAAGCCTATGAGGATCAACAAACTAGGACTGATTAAGAGATAGGATACTTCTGTATTGGTTCATAAGGGAGGAAGCTCACCAAAAACATAACCAAGAGAAGGTGTTGGTGGCCCTCGTTTCTGGAAAATACCATATTTACTCAAATATAAGACAAAGTCCCCCTCCCCCTCCCCTCAGCATGGAGAGAAGAAAAAGTGCTGCTTCTTACAATTGCATACAAGGAAACCTCATTAAATACATTACCTATCATTAAACTGCTGCCAAAAGCAACATGTAGTCACTAATGGAAACCAACTATGTAATTGATTAAAATACAGCCAACACTAAGCATGACTATAAAACACATGGCCCATATGGGGCAAACATACTGAGGGGAACCTACCACAAGGCTAGGTTAGTGCAGCCCATCTGAATAAGATATATGGTAGTGTCCATTGCACTCAGTCCCCCTCAGCACCAACCCTTACCTCTCTCTAAAAGTGAGTTTCAAGAGGTTAAAATAATAGAGGATATCAAGCAAGAATGCACTTTTTGTAGAAAACAGTGATTAGAGGCTTCCTGACCAGTGATTTAAATCATAATTAAAACCATGATTTAAATCATTTTGATTTAAATCAAATCCACCCTGCACAGCTTAGGTGGGGGAGTGAAGAGGAAATAAAAATGTATTCTGTGTAGTGGCTCACCATGACTTGGCGGGGAAAAAAAAGAGTTGGTGCTGAGGGGGACTGAGTGCAGTGAACACTACCATATATTTTATTCAGATCAGCACCCCACACAGTGGGGGAGGGAGTGGGGCAGGGACTGAGACATGCACTGCCTAGCTGGGATGGAGCCACGGCTCGTCCGGGTGGCACAGGATGGCAGGGCAGCTCTCACCGCTGTGCACACCCCAGGAGGGTATGGGGGGTCCAGGAGGGCACGGGGGGCTGCAGCCACCCCAAATTTTGCTGTAACCACTCTGTAGCCCCCTCCCAGCGCTGCAGCTCCCATGTGCTGGAAGCATGGCCATGCAGCCCCCACACACCAGCCCCAGCCCACAGCTGCAGCCCCCCAGTCTCCCCGCTCAGATCGAGAACACACATACTTCCCCCATGCCCTCCTGGGGTGCGCACAGCGGCAGGCTCCACCCCCCTGGACGAGCTGCGGCTCCGTCCCATGACTGCCTCGCCCCGGCTGGAAGACACGCTGCCCAGCCCCTGCTGCACACCCTCCCTCACCACAGGAGGTGTTGATCTGCCCCCTCCACACTCCTTCCCTCCCCCCTGCCCTTTTACCACAACAGACCTACCAGCTGCATGCAGCTCTCCATGCTGCTGGGCTGCATTCCTTGCTGCCTATGTGCTGTGCTGAGGCTGTGTGTGTGCATGGGTATTTATCAGCCAAATTATCTGCCATATCAGGCTGATTTCCATTACAACCAATTTTCTTTATATCTGTGCTCATCTGATATCTGACTGATGTATCTGCACCTCTAGGAACAAATTCAAGGCAAATCTCCAATAATTAGATTCTATACCTGGAAAATTACTACAAATTTATAAATTTTCCATATATAGAATCTAATTATTGGAAGGGTTGTCTTATATTTGAATAAGTACAGTATTCTGGTAGGTTTGATCATAGGACCAATACTGCCTCCTCCAGCTGTGCCCTTGGCACCTTAAGTTCAGGGTTCCAAACTTGTTCTTATGTAGAGATGTGTTGCCACTTCCCTATAGCTGGGAGCCTAAGACCTGTTGAGAAAACAAATTTTAGACTCCATTCCCCCTTCCCCCTGTTCTCCTGTTCACATCAGTATTTCCCACTGCGTGCTCAGCAGGTTGACTTCCATTAATCTTATTTTGAGGAGTCTTACTCTTCAAAAAGTTAGGTCTTTGACAGTAAGTGGCATATTGCTTATGTTCCTGTGTGGTTGTGCCTCTGTTTTTTAAATTAGCTGTGTAGCTTTACTGCTCTTTCAGTTCCCACATTGTGAAAAGTTGTTAAATTCTTATCTCTGATGAAAACCTTATCTACTAGGGAGCAGAGAAGAGCAGAAGATTCAGAGTCCACCAGAGATCTTGCCAAGCAGATCTAATTTATTTGGGCCACGATTGGATGCTATGGTGATAAGTGTTATAGAAAAACTTATGGAGAACTTGGCATCTAACATTTTTGAAGTTTTGCCAGATTTGGGCCTTTAGTGTTACACATTACCACCTGTAACTTCTGCATTTGCAATTTCACTACTCAGTGGGTGCATCTACACATGCATACATGCGCCTTTGCTACTGTGCATTAAGTCTAGTATCTCTAATATGAGCTATGACATAAAGGCACATTAGGCCGCGCTAATGTGCAGTAAAAAAGGCAAACTTTTTTTTGTGACGCTTAATGTGCAGTAGACTAATTCTACTGCACGTTAGTGCATTAGGATGTTTTTTGCCGTGATGCACCAATGCATAGGAGAATAGACTACTGCGCATTACGGTGTCTCATGTAGACATGCCCAGTGAAAGGCTTGTGTTATGCATCTTTCTGGGTGTATATCTATTTATCCAGAAAGAAAAAATTCCCTAAGCAAGCTCTTTACCTATACAGGATTTTGGCTCCACCTGCAGAGAACAGGAGGAACAATGACAAACCTTGTAAAGGCAGTCCTCAGATTTACGAGACACTTGGTTCCTGAAAACTGTCTCTTAAATCGAAATGTTGCAATTTAGAATCGCTTTTCCCATAGGAAACACTGTTATAAATGGGGGATCAGTTCCTAAACTGAGGCCTGACTCTATTTTCACCAAAAATAACCCAGAATTTTGTACTCAATCAATTATAGATGAGTATTATAGCTACATTAATGTATTTATATTGTAAATAGCAAACACTGATTTAGAAGGACTTCTTTAAGGTGACTTTGCTGGACTTTTTGAAGGGCTCTTGTTTGGACTTTTTGAAGGGCTCCTGGCTGACGTCTTCTCAGGAGACTTGGCTGCAGATTTTTTGGAGTCTTGTCTGCTTTCTTAAAGAAAGTATCCGAGGAAGTTTGGACAGATGTTCTCCAGGGAGATGGGCAACGCAGCGAACTTGTTCTCTGGCATAGCGTGGCGTGGTGTGATGTTGGATCAAGTGTTGTAAAGTAAAAATTGACTTCAGAAAGTTGAAACAGGGTGTCAATTTAGAAATGTTGGCAGTAAGAAACGTAACTCGAAATGTAAGTCGAGGACTGCCTGTATTTGTAAACCTGAGCATTCATTTCTTTCCTAGTTCTCTAGGGAACATGAAAGCAGAAACTAGTAATGTTTGTTTCTGTTCTGTATAGCCTTTTCTACTTACAAAAGTAAAGAACGAGTCTGTAGAAAAAGTGCTTGTCACTTACTGATGGGACTCTACTTGCATTGCTGGTGACCATACCTCCCTTAGGCCAAAGCTGAACTTCAGTAAGACTAGTCCTGTACTTTCCTGAAAAAGAACTATGTATTTTTTCTCTGTGTGGTCCATTACCCAGAAGAATATGCCAGGGGTGATGGCTGGATGAGTACAGCACAGTGAATATTTTATCAGTACTCATTTTATGTACTTTAAAGGCACCTGCTGTTTTGATGCTTAAGCATCATCTAAGGATTAAGACGTCTCCTTATCCTTTTAACTCCTCCTCCCAGGCATTGCTTTCCTTTTCTTTACTCTCTCTCTCTTTCTTGACCATCACCATTTTTTTTGTCTTGTTTCTTGCGAAGATGATCAGCATGTTCTTATTTCAAATATGTTTGGTCGTTTTGAACTAGTACACATTTTTCTTATTGCTCATGTCTTGCATGCATTGGAGTAATTTGGAAAGACTGTAAAATCAAACATTCTTTTATTTTTCTCTCCCCAGGTTCGGCACAACTGCTGTTTAATGCAACCAAGTCCGTTAATCTATCCACTTGTAATGAAAGTGCCATCCTGCCTTGCATAGTAAATAATCTAGCATTCCATAGTGCTGGCGACATGTTTGTTAAGTGGAAATTTAACGGAACAGAATTTTTCGCATTTGATGGATTCAGCAAGAAATTACGCAGAAGTGACAAATTTTCATCTGCTAATTTTACATCTGAGAAGGATTTACCCAAGGGTATTGCCTCCTTGTCAATCTTAGCAGCACAAGCACTTCCTGGAAACTACACCTGTGAAGTAACGGAATCAAATAGGGAAGGAGAAATTGTAGTTGAACTTAAAATCTCTGTAGGTAAGTTATGTATTATCATTTACCAATAAAAGGAATGGATGGATCTTGTGGGAAGGAACAAAGAAAAATGAATGCGTCAGTGAACTACTAGCAGTGAAAAATATCAAAAACATGGAAGTCAGTAATGTAATCCTAGTAGTCCTGGGCATATATCTTTTTTGGAAATCAAAATTAATGCCTCTTTAAGCATTGGGCTTGTTGATTGTTAATTTTGGTAATTTTTAAAGTGTGAAGATTTCCTGGGTCCTTTAGTTTTATAATCTGAAGCATTTCTGGCATGTATACTTTACTGTATATGTATGTTACAACTCTATATGTACAGTACTATGATTCATATGCTATTTCCCATGTTAATTGAGTTACAGAGACCTTTCTTAAAATTTGAAAAGCTAGTTTCCCAGTGTAAGAGCTTCAAGATTTGGTCTATAGCTATGCATGTTTTGTAGGAATTGAGGAAGTTGCTGTCAGGACTGTAACTTATTAGTAAAGCCCAGTTAAGGCCAGTTAATGGGAGATGTTTAATCTAAAGCATTTTCCATGTATCACTGAGACAATTAATTATTACAAAACATGCGGTTTTAATATCAGTTGGCATTAAAATAATTTCCCACTTAATGTCAATCTGATATTATAGACTTGCTGATGCAAACAACACTGCAGTGTCCATTTTGATCAAGTGTGCAAGTATGCTGTATGCAAAATAAACATAACTTTCGAAGAGGGGCAAGCTCCAGAAGTGGATCCGAAGGGACCCTTTTACCTTGCATGTGAAAATCCCATTGAAGTGAAATTGCTTCAGGGCTATGAGTATTTGGCTGTGTCTAGGAGGTGAGAAGTAGCCCCAGCCAGTTCCATAGTGTTGCATTCAACCAGACCCTAGTGGATGCAGATCATTCTGAAGTATGGCTTGTGATGGGTGATTTCCTTGGCTTTGTGTTTGTTGACTAAATACGGTTGTGAATCTCTCATTCTTTTCTCAACAGATGTAATGTTTTCCTTTGCTTAGCACTATGGCTTTGAAAAAAAGTGTAAAGAATAGCATACTGGGGGTAGGAATATCAGATGATTTCATGATATTTTACCCAAGATAAGAATGCCTTGAGAGAGAGAGAGAGGGGGGGGTGGGGAGAATCTTCATAGAATGCCTTGAGAGAGAGAGAGAGGGGGGGGGGGGGAGAATCTTCCATGGAAAGTTCTGGTTAATGGAAAAACTGTGCTGGGAAAATGATGACTGGGCTTGACAATATTTTGCTTGAGACTTTAATTGCGGATAAGGCAAGCAGCTGAAGTCCACAGGGGGCCACAAGCCTTGTTTAAAATTATTTTGTATACTTCATTTCTGATTTTTATTTAGTTTTAAAAAGCTTCTTTTAAGGTGAAAATACAATAATGACACAAATCTGCCATCAGGGAATGAGTCGGACTGCCGAGACCGCCTGCCATGCCCGTCTGGTAAGCCCTGCACAGGGAGGAGGGCTAGGGGAGTCGGGGTGCCGCTGCCACCATTGTCTATGCCCGTTGACCTGCCTGCCATCGGGCTGCACACCTGGAGCCAGGGGCCCCACATGGGGGTGAGGGTCCCCCCCTATCCCCCTCCCTGCCCTGCCTAGGCAAACTCCTTCTCTGCCCCCTGGAGTTTCCACCCACAACACACGAGAAGGTGGGGAGGTAGTGCAGAACTTTATTGAGCAGCCAGTGCTCTCGCAAATGGGCAGCCAGTGCCCTGTCACATGCAGAGAACCCATCGATGGCAGCAGCAATCTCCTCCCTGTTTGAGGGGGTCAGGGACTTGTAGCGTACACGGAGATACCTCTTCAAGTGGCAGTTCATGTTGCAAGGAAGAGTAGGCTTCCCTGGGGCACCATCCAAGCCCAGGGCCCTGTGCCACATTCTCAGCTGTGCCCAGGGCGTCATGGTAATCAGCAATAGCAGGGCATAGTGGGTTGGGCACTCCTCTGTGCACTCAAACAGCTTTTCATGGCATTGGGCTTGTTTGGTGATCCTTTGGTCATTTTTAAGATGCTGAAGTTTTCATGGGTCCTTTAGTTTTATAGTCTGAAGCATTTTTGGCATGCTCACTGTATTGTGTATGTATGTTAAAACTCTCTATATGTACAGTATTATGATTCAAATGCTATTTCACATGTTAATTGAGTTACAGAAACTTTTCTTAAAATTTGAAAAGCTAGTTTCCCAGTGTATGAGCTTCAAGTTTTGGTCTACAGCTATGCATGTTTTGTAGGAATTGAGGAAATTGCTGTCAAGACTGTAACTTATTAGTAAAGCCCAGTTAAGGCCAGTTATGGGAGATGTTTAATCTAAAGTGTTTTCCACATATCGCTGAGACAATTAATTATTACAAAACTTGCTGTTTTAATATCAGTTGGAATTAAAACAAGTTCCCACTTAATGTCAATCAGATATTACAGACTTCCTGATGCAAACAACACTGTAAAGTCCATTTTTGATCTAGTGTGCAAGTATGCTATATGCAAAAAAACCATAACTTCCGAAGTGGGGCAAACTCCAGAAGTGGATCAGAAGGGGCCCTTTTGGTTTGCATGTATTTGAGAGAGTGAAGAAGCTAAAAATCCTGTGGAGGTTAGGACCTAGCAAGAAGCAAAGGAAACTAGGTAGTTTCTTCTCTCCCTGCTGATGCTTTTGCCTTACTTCTCCCTTTTCTGTTTTATTCCTCTCCACCTGCCTGCTATTAAGAGCAAAAGCAGCAGTTCAAAGGGTTTTTGGTTGTAGCCATGTTGGTCTAAGGAATGAATGCTGTGTGTCCCCAGAGGCTGGGGGGGCATAGCGAGCTCCCACAGGCAGCAGCGGAAGCATGGCGGCGGCAAGCAGGGAGCTTCCGCAGGTGGCCATGGCGCTGTCTGCAGCAGGAGGGGTGGGCGGGGTGATGAGGGCTGGCCAGAGATTGGCAACCACCTGCAGATGGTTAATGGAAAAACTGTGCTGGGAAAATGATGACTGGGCTTGACAATATTTTGCTTGAGATTTTACTTGCGGATAAGGCAGGTAGCTGAAGTCCACAAGGGGCCAAACATCTTGTTTCAAAATCATTTTGTATCCTTGATTTCTGATTTTTATTTAGTTTTTAAAAGCTGCTTTTAAGATGAAAATATAGTAATGACACAAAATCTGCCATCAGGGACTGAATCGGACTGCCGAGACCGCCTGCCATGCCCATCTGGTAAGCCCTGCACAGGGAGGAGGGCCGGGAGAGAGGGGGTGCTGCTGCCACCCATGCCCCTACCCTCTGACCTGCCTGCTGTCAGGTTGCATACCTGGAACCAGGGGCCCCACATGGGGGTAGGGGCCCCTCTTCCCTCCCCCTCCATGCCCTGCCTAGGCAAACTCCTTCTCTGCTCCCTTGAGTTTCCCCCCACAATACACGGGGAGGCAGTGCAGAACTTTATTGAGCAGCCAGTGCCTTCGCAGTTGGGCATCCAGTGCCCTGTCACTTGCAGAGAAACCCATTCTTGACAGCAGCAATCTCCGTGTTTGCTGGGATCAGGGACTCGTAGTGTAGTCAGAGGTACCTCTCCAGGTATTAGCGCACATTGCAAGGAAGCGTAGGTTTCCCTCAGGTGCCATCAAAACTCAGGGCCCTGTGCCACATTTTCAGCTGCGCCCAGGGCACCATGGCAATCAGCAATATCAGGGGATTCATAGATTCATAGATTGATAGATTGTAGAGTTGGAACGGACCACAATGGATCATCGTGTCCGACCCCCTGCCCCTTGCGGGAAAGAGGACTGAGGTCAGATGACCCCAGCCAGGTGACTATCTAGCCTCCTCTTGAAGACCTCCAAGCTAGGTGACAGCACCACCTCTCTTGGAAGCCCATTCTAGATCCTGGCCACCCTTACTGTGAAAAATTTCTTCCTAATATCTAACCTAAATCCACTCTCAACTAGTTTACACCCATTATTCCTAGTCACTCCCTGGGGCGCCTTAGTAAACAGCGCTTCCCCTATTCCTCCTTGACCTCCCTTAATAAATTTATAGGCGGCCACAAGATCTCCTCTCAGCCGTCTCTTGTGAAGGCTGAAGAAACTCAGCTTTCTCAACCTCCCCCCGTAGGGTCTATCACAAAGGCCACTAATCATGCGAGTGGCCCTCCTCTGGACCCTCTCAAGATTCCCCACATCCTTCTTGAAGTGCGGCGCCCAAAACTGGACACGGTACTCCAACTGCGGCCTGACAAGTGCCGCGTAGAGGGGGAGCATCAACTCCTTTGTTCTATTAGTCATGCACATGCTAATGCACGACAAGGTGCGGTTGGCCTTGTTGATGGCCTCGTTACGCTGCTGGCTCATGCTCATCTTGGAGTCAATTATGACTCCAAGATCCCTCTCTGCCTCTGAGCTGCTGAGAAGGACACTCCCCAACCTATAGGTGTGCTGGGGGTTCCTCCTTCCCAGGTGGAGTACCTTACATTTATTTTTATTCAATTGCCTCCTCTTTCTCTCTGCCCATTGATTGATCCAACCTGTCCAGGTCAGCCTGAATCTGCTTCCTGCCGTCCAGTGTACTAACTTTGCCCCATAACTTGGTATCATCAGCGAACTTGGAAAGGGTGCTCTCCAC